TCGCAACATTATAAAGGCATTGGTATATCGGGACATACAATAATTAATTACACTTACGAGCTTGTTCGTTTAATTAAATGTCAATTACGCGGCTTGCATGTATCTTAAAAGGAAACAAACGATATCTTGATATAATTTATTACTATCGTCCGAATAGAATTTCTAAGATACGTTAAAATTCCTTTTCCTAGCGTTCTCATTTCACTGAATATAGCGTTTCCGTTTTTGCTGCTTGATATGAAATCTGTTTGCCGGTCGTGCCATCACGTGTTCTATACATGAAACTAAAATGTGCTACGAGATTCGTGCCGGTGCGACGCGTTTCGCTTTTAAGACGGCTTCTCATATTCCGCTCGCGTGGCCAAGATATATGCGGCACGACGCGAGACTCGCGAAGAGCGCACAATGATAAAAGTCTTCGTCGTTGCATCACGTCCGTCCATGAAAGGAGATTTTCTCTTGGACAAAAGGAGTGTCTCTCGTAATGACAATTTACAATTATCCCGATGCTCCGACGAACAATTGTCGGCGCAGTTGCTCCGCGACGTTTCCTCGTCGCTGAAGGAAAGCACTTTCGGATTTGAGTCACGCTCGACAATCCGTGATAACTTCCGCTTTGGCTTTAATTAGACTTGCCGCAGGAATGACTGCGGATAGCAGCTACAGAAGATAGCGCGCTAAATTTACTGATCATTCATTCCGGCTGTCCTCGCGGCCCACCTGAATTTTGATCGGTGACAAAAGGAATTAAAGCTGTTGGATGAGGATTTTATAACAGCTTTATTAAAATAACGAGACGAGTAGATAAAAGTTTAGTCTTCAAAAAATCACATTTGTCATTTAATATTTAATAAATCCATCAGTAGATGACAAATTAAATTGATAAAATAAATTAAACCATAAAATTAAATCATAAAATTCTAAAATATGTAAAATATACATAATTTCCAAATCGACTTTATATTTATTTTTATTATGCAACATGATCATACGAATTTTATATAATTTTCTTTATTTTTGAAGTCATCCAAGATTTCAGATTTTCTCTCAACAAGTTGCAATATTTTATTAGCAAAGAGAATCAAAATCTTAAATCAATTAAAGAAAGAACAGCTTTGTAATGCTATCTATAAGTGCATATACAGATTCAATTTAACAATTTCATATTTAGCAACAGTTAAATCTTCTATTTATTTGAAACAATTTGTAATTCTCGAAAATAAAATATGAAGATTTACCGTATACAGAGAAATATGATGACATTATTTATTAAATCTGTTTTATTAATTTATTATGAACATGTTTAAATGCGCGTGAAGCGGTATTTAGTAGACGCGGTTTGCGAACTGTCATAACATTTTACATTTACATTCATTTATGCAATAGCATAATTTACATGTTATGAATATTTTATGAGGGCACTGGTGTAATATATTTAAAACATGCGATGTTGCTAATTTAGTACAATGTCGCTTTTCATACGTTAATTTCACACTTTATGGTTCCGCGCTGACGAAAAATCTGGTGGACAGTCAACTCGGCTGCATTCACGGAAAATATAAAACTAATGCAAAAGAATGTGGCCAAGATAAATGTGGTGCGATGTATATATGATGTTTTAGTGTGTTGGAGTATTAATTATGCCTCACGTAACTTTTAAGTTAACCTAGAGCACATTTTAGAAGAACATTAATGGTTTTGTTTTAAAAGGAAGATGAATATTATGCTATAATTATTTCTTGCCTTCTTGTTAAAAAAAAACATTGTGAGCATTGTGTGACAATAGAAATGAGAAATTTCTCTTGACGAAAGTTGCTGCTTAATGAGGTAATCAAACTTTAGGTTTAAGTTTGCTCTGCTCCATTTCATTTTCCTGTTTTCTGTTCATTCTATTCTTGCATTACCTAGCAGAAATGAAACGTTATCAAAAAATTCTCCTCTCTCTCTCTCTCTCTCTCTTTCGTATTATCATTTTTCACAAATATTATTTATTCAAGCTTCCATGTTTTTTATCATACATCAGCGTTGAGAATTCAGCATACGAAGAATTCAGTTATAAAGGATTAAATATATTTTTGTTTTATTTTACTGGGACTTTACTCGCAAATCGGAAAAGGTGAATCGACGATTAGATGGGACGATTTTTACAGCCGAGAGAATAAACTGAAATACATTTCTTTTATCCGGCATTATTTGTTTTTTGAATTTTATTGCCAGATACATCCTACATAGTATATAATCCCAAGAACATCAATAAAATCTCTATTTAAAATCTAGTTTTTAATATTTGAAAATCTAATATAAACTGTATTAATGATGAAAAATTGGATCGTAAAGAAAGTAATATTTGCAAGTAATATTAAACCGTGTGCGTATATTTCTTTACGTAACCATTTTCCAATTTTTTTCTTTTTACAGTCCGAGCTCTTATATTTTAATTCTTTGCGGTTCATAGCAAACGTATTATATCGAATATATAGAAAAATAAAAATATAAAGAACATCAATAAAATCTCTGTATAGTTTTTAATATTTGTTTTTAATATTTGAAAATCTAATATAAACTGTATTAATGATGAAAAATTGGATCATAAAGAAAGTAATATTTGCAACATTATTAAACCGTAGGTATATATTTCTTTAGCCATTTTCCAATTTTTTTTTCTTTTTACAGTCCAAACTCTTATATTTTAATTCTTTGCGGTTCATAGCAAACGTATGGTTATATTGAATGTATGGTTATATCGAATGTATAGAAAAATAAAAATATAAAAGGATATTCCATCATTTAAGTGCTATAAAAAAATTGTGCTTCCTCGATTTTGTAACAAAAAATGTTATTCCACAGAAAGATATGACAATAAAGATTTTAAAATATTGTACTATATGATAAATATTTGATTTTTGAAGTGCAAGCCTTTATTGGTTGTCGGAAAACATTTATATATAAACAATCTAAATCATCGTTTAATATATGAAACATTATAAAAATCGATCAACTTTTTAGATTAATTCACCTTATTTCGCAAATAATAATATTCCTTATTTCGGGAAAATTATGCTTTATTTTTAACGATAATTATTAGAAATAGTTTTGCTGAAGAATCTAAAAACTTAAACACAAAATAATTATGTAGGACACTCAAGCTGTTTACTAAGATATCAAAACTTTTAATAACATTACTTATCGTGCTTGAGCGTCGTACACTGTCAAATTATGTATGTTATGTATATGTGATTCGCGCTAATGTTAGCAAACGTTGGCTATATCGTCTAAAGGCGTGTATCTCTTTAAGAAGTGCATGATTTCCGCTAAAACTATACGTTTCCATCTAATCTTCATCCTTTTTCCTTGCCAATATCCTGTTACTTTCTTAATATCGCTTAATGGTCTCGCAGATTTCGCATTTTATCGGAAGCTGGCGAATATGACCTACCGCTCATGTCTGAATAGCCTACGAGTGGCGTAAAATCTTCAAGAAGGAGCTTTAACTTTACGAGATTCGCGCCCACGTAAACGGTAACGACTTTCTAAGTGCGAAAATTTTTAAAGCAACTAGGAAAATTTCTGAGCCCGTAATACGGCTACTAGCTGTTAGCCAAACTATTGTATGACGAGTTTTGTCTTCGCGCTGATGTGCGCCGAAATTGAGAAATTTATGCCAGCGATGCGATCCATCTTGCATCACATTTTAATGCAGTTCACAATTTATATGGAGCTAGAAAATCTTCTCGTTTAGGTTAACTTACCATTATCTCTTCGGATAATAATAAGTGCTAGGGAAACAACATACTTGGATACTCAATTAACTAGAATGTTTATAACTTTCTTAAAAATAAAAATATTGTAAAAAAGTTCTTTTTTCAATCGAAAACGCCAAACATTAGATATCAAGAAAATATATATTGTTATTAAAAAATCAAAATTTCCAATAAACCTCGTGAAAACTGACACAGGAACATGTTAATATATTATTCGAAATTAAATACAAACGTTTCGGTTTAGATCTTTTTTAGCATAATACTGACAAGTTAGCCACTACAAATAGCAATTTTGCTTTACAATAAACTATATATAAAATTAATTGAAAACTTATATTAGTAGCGACGAGATGACAAAGCAGAGCGCAAATAAGAATGTGTATAATACAAGATGTGTGAACTTGTAAAAGGTCATCGAATGGATAAACATGTTTATATACTAAATTAATAAATAGATAAAACAAATAAAACGTAGAAGTATCAAGATTTTATAAAAAGTATTTAATGGATTTAAAAGGTCCATATCATTTTGTACATTTAATTTTTTTTGTAAATTTATTGAAAAGTTATTAGCTACTATATCCTTAGCTTTATCTTCCTTCTTCCCTATTTGTATCACGTATACAGTGTATAGAAAGTGAATCCTTAAGAGAAGCAGCTCAGTATCAGATTACTTCCTGTCTTGATGAAGTGAACTGTAATATTCACGAAACTTTGGCATTTAACGATGTATCAACATACAGGAAAAAATTCGTAAGTTTCTTTGCGCAGCTTCCTTAAAAATTAAACAATGGAAAAAGCATTGAAAAACATTGGAAAAAAGAGAATATCATAGTGTGTTCATAGTGACGCTGAAGAATTATAATAATACAACGCAGTCAAAGGTCTTATCTCACTTTACGGTCATAGTACTAGAATAAAGTAATTCTTCTTTCTAACCTTTCTTGCCTTTAAAATTGTCTCTATATTGCTGCATTTAAACTTTAGATTACGGTATCTTGAATCGAATTTCATTTATCAATTGAAATAAATGGGACTGAATAAATGGGATTGAATAGACAACTGCAATTACTGTCATTGGAGCATTTTATATACATGCTCTACAAAATGTTTATTCTTTCAAGTTCTGCTGAACCGTCGCGTTGAATCGAGCGCGAAATAAGGTTGATGAACTCAAGCATGTAACATATGTAAGAGAGCACTCTCACAAACGCGAATCCGCAATGGTTTTTGTTGCAGGTCGAGATGAAAGGAATCTCTGGACCTATTGAATTTAAAGAAGGCCGTAGAATTCAGTTTAAATTGGATCTACTGAAACTGAAACAACATTCACTTGTTAAGGTACGTCATGGCCTTACTCTAAGCAAAACTCTAAGAAGCGTGTTAGAAGAACGCGAATATCAAATGAGTATATAATAAAATTATATATGAAACTAGGTCGGCGAGTGGCGTCCCGGCGCCGGCGTCAACGTTACAGACACTGCGGCCTTTTTCGAGCCTAACATCGGGAACGTCACTCTGATTGTGATTACTATACTGGTGAGTTTTCATCAAATCTGCATTTTGTTGCGCAATAACTTTGTTCTGTCTTTTATATAAATCTACGCACGGCTTTATTGTAAAATTATACGACATTTGGACGCAGCTAAAAGGAATATATTCAAATATATTCATAATCATTTCTGCTTTCTAAAAAAAAGGGAAGATATCGCAAGGCGAGGTAGATTGCCGCATAATGCTGGCTGTTTTATTGTTTCAACTCCGATACCGCCGTACCACCCATTTTGGAAGAACGAGTCGAGCGAAAAACGCGCGATAACCGTTGAAAGTTCTTCGATATGGTCGGCGCCAACATGTCTCGTCATAAATCCGCGTTATACCGCGGCGGTCTCAAAGCGCTTTTCGTTATTCTTGCATGAATCCCAATTCGCTCGTCGGACGCAGGAGACGCCGTATGTGATGATGCATCACGAAAAGAACTACACCGGGAACTCGCGATTTTACGGTTTTTGCATGGACCTTCTGGCAGCGGTGGCGAGGGAGGTAGGCTTTTCGTACCGATTGGAGCTGGTACCGGATAGGAAGTATGGCGCACGAGACCCGGAGACCGGCGAATGGAATGGCATCGTACGAGAGCTTATGCGACATGTATGATTTGGTTTGTTCGTTTCATTTCTCACATCTCCCTTTAGTACACGATCCTGAACACTCGCTCACGTATATCGCTAGAGTCTTTGGAGAAATCTCTTGTTGGTCTATTTACTTTGATTATTTACTTTGAATAGCCAAGGCAAGTTTTATAGGTAACCTTGTTACCTATAATCACAAATTACATATCACAAATTAGAGTAAATATACCCATACTGTTTGTATTGATAACTGCAAATTATTACACGGTTCGACAATATGTTTTGATCAATTAATACGAGGTTGTACTACTGTAAATGTTCTCTTGCTAGTAATTTAATACTCCACTAATGTTTTGACGGTCTAATTTGTAATCGCATTAATGGTAGAAATGTAAATGTATTAACGTTGTTTATAAAAGTTTACTTTAGTTTGTATAAATATTAGGTGTGGGAAAAAGTTCGTGGCGTTTTTTTAATACCATCTAACGGGAAAAACGCCACGAACTTTTTCCCACATAAACGTAAGTAATAAAATGATTCTATTCTCTGTTATCCTATATTTTTTTAATCCAATATTTTGAATTTAATTATAATTTAATTTGTGCATTTAGTTGCAACAATTCTATGCTTGACTTGCTAGTTAAATTTGTTCTTTTAATAACTCATTATGATCAATTATTCTGATATTTATCATATTGTAGAATAAAAGCTGTCCTTATAAAAATAAATCACAACGATTTGTATAATACGTAATTTTGCACGGCGTTAACAACTCGCAAATGTCAGTCAATAAAGATAAAAAATAAGATCGTAAAATGATTGCAAATTGTTTAGTATAAATATTGCAGAATCATGGGATGCACTAACAATGTCAATCAATTACATGTTTCAATTAGTATACTTTTACTGAGCCTACATGTATAATCATACATATAACGACATATAACTTCACATGAAATTTTCATTTGAAACAATAATTATTTTTTCCCTAATATTATTTATTATTATTTTCTACAAAGATTTTTGAAAGATTTTTTGATAAATGTGAAAGATGAAAATGATAGCTTATATGAAATGTATCATTTAATATATGTCTATTTTCAAATAATGAAATAACATTTCTTGATTATTTGTATTTGACAACTCGTATAACTTGAATACAAATTTCTCCTTTAAAGCAAATTTATTTAGACGAGGGAGACGACGCCGTATTGATTTATTGAAGCCAAATGATATTAAATATCAAAATGAAATGAAGGATGAGTCAATAAGAGTCAACGCGAAAGTAAATGTGCAATAATACAATATATTTAGTCAGTTATATAGTAAATTACTTAAATAAAAACATTATGATTTTCAACACATGTCGAAATGAAATTAAAATAAACAATGAAGTAGTCAAAATGTGAAACAACAGATCATAGATTAAATAAAATGGAAATTGCACGTCTATGTTAAATTGAAAGTTGTATCAAAAAATAGAACTGTGTAACTAAAGTCCAGTTTTATTTAATATTTCACAGTGGCTATTGCTTTATTATTTATTGCAATTTTATTTTAACCCATGTTTTCTGTCGTTTAAATATATCTTATGTATTATATATTGAAAAAATTCCATAATTAGGATTGAAACGTATGCGTTTTTATTTAATTTACTACGAGTAATAATTGATTAAATATATTGTTATTATTGCACACTGATATCCGCATCGGCTTTTATTGGATCATCTTTCCTTCATTTTATTTTTATTTAGTCTTAGAGCTATACATTTAATTTATGACTCGAGTCATCGATATTAAATCTAATCTATCGATATTAAATTAATATTTAGAATTATCTATAATTTATTTATTTATCTATAATTATCTATAATTTAGAATTATCTATAATTAAAAATTGCAAAAGCTCTCTTTATTTAGATATAAAAATTAACGTACGACTAATGTTCTTGTATACCATGTTTTTTTTCTTAATTAAAAATAAGAGATAGAATGTGAAATGTACTTTATTTACGATGAATATCAATTATGCACGAAAATAAATGGGAATTTATACTTCTCGTACGAACTAACAGTATTACACTACAGTAACTACAGTATTTCATAAATTCTGTAATATCATGATGAAATTTGGCATTTATTAAAACATAATATTAAATTTATTAAAACACAGTATACAAATTTAATGAAACTGTATGTACGTCACATATAGGAGAGCAATTTTCTTTTACGTATTTACTAAAGTAACATAAAATCGAAAGATTATATCGACAGAAAATGGAAAGATTTATGAATTTCTTACTTACTTTGATCAATTATTTCTTATAAATTCGAAAATTTTCTTCTCTAACTATATTTGAAATCTTTAATAATTACATATTTCATCGATATTTGCGTGTGTCGCTTTATATCTGCGGTCGCATTGAAATTTGCCTCTTCTCTTTAAATCTTTTATGCTCTTACGACTTTTCGCTTCACGTACTTTTTCGCTCTATTCAAAAGACTCATGCATTATTCAAAGAAGAGTTAAAAGTGGCCTTACAGCCTCCATTAAGTTGGCTTAAATTAATTTTATATCTCAATTTTATATCTTCTGTCTTCTAGATTGCATAAAACGAATTTTAACACTTTCACGAGAGTGCCATATTAAGTAATTATTCATAAATGCGCTGACCGTTTAATCCGTCTCTTCTTAATCTACGCGTATGATAAGTTAAGTGCAGATTTTTGTTACGCGATATATTCTTTATGTTGAAATCTATGATAAATATTTGCTGTACCATTCATCCAGCAAGAAATAATTTCTCACTAAGACTTTTATCTTTAGCTATGCAATGCTAATTTTTCATCTTTGTTTTCATGCGCATATTCGCGCAGCTTATTTGGATTAAATCTTATGTTTGAATTTTTTTTCAAGCTCTTTCCATGCATATGTATACATACATATGCATGATAATTTTTTTACAAACGAATGTAAAACCTCAAACAGCATGCATACACAAACAATACACACAAAATGAAACACGTATGTTCTCGTCTCTTTCATTTTTTTTTTCTTTAAGAATCCTCTGTCATAAAAGTAGTAATATTAAATAACGAGGATAAAAATATTAACAGCTTAAAACATTATAAAATATGTTGTATATAAATGTTGAATCTGAACGGATTAGCACGCTCCCTTTTTCCGTTTTTCTTTTTTTCTAACGCCGCTTTTCAACGCGGCTTAATTAATGCGTGCCAAATGCATTCTCTATATAGTCTGCAATATGCAGTTAATCCGGTCGAAATTCTCATATGCGGCTCGTAAATACCAAATCTACTCGACATACCCTCTAATTAAATCTCTCACGTTTCCGTCGTGCGGCAGTCACCGGCCTCGTTTTCATCTAAAATGGCGGAAAGCTTCATGAAGTGAAGCTACTTTATTGCATTTCAAGAAGCCGATTTGAATTTAAATTTAAATCTAGACCCCGCGCATAGACTTCCAACTCTCCATGTCTGAATATACGACGACCGTGCGATAACGCTCTACAGGAGAGCATCTTTTTGTCTATATTTTCACTCGTTCGTGGTGAAGATAATATTTGTCCGGTGGAACGAAAGTTTCTCCCTCGTTGCACGTTCGTCTCTTTCGTACGTTTGCAATTATCGAAATTCTTCGGATAATTTTTCTCGTTCTCGTTTTTCTGTATTATTCGCCGGCGTTACTTCTAATTCGATCGAGTATTCGTATCAACGTTTTATCAGGTGATTTAATTCACCATTTCTGCATGCGAGAATCTATACATCTCGATCTTGATAAAAAAAATTTTTTGTTTCTTATTTTTTAATGGCGATGCTAGATATCGTAGACGTTTTTTATCATGTGCGAAAGACAAGAAAAGTTATTCACTATTAAATTATTGTGTAAAATTAATTATGATAAAAGTAAAGAAATCTGTTAATCAAAAATTAGATACGTATTACTAAATTTTTCACGATCGGACGATGCATTTAATATGATTAGTAAAATTATACAAATGACACATTTATCTTGAATGTTATTTACTAGTAAAATAATAATCTAAGACATTACTCATGAGATTTATTTGGCAAGCTATTGTCTAGTTGGCGTAATATCACGCACGTTAATTGGCCTTCTCGCACCTGAGTCTCCGAGGCCTACGACGTGTAGTTACGCTTGCAGAGCACATCTCGTGGGAGTGTTGAACGTAATAGTCTATCGAAGAGTAATCCATTTAGCTGGTAATCAGCATCGAGAGAACCATCGAACGTCCACGTCGAGGCAAGTGCATTCGCCATGCCCGGTATGTCGTCGTAAATACCAATTAAAGCTGTCCATACTGTTACAGATACATGCACGACTCGCTATCACACGTGGTATCCCGGTATTCTTTGGTTATACGATGGCCGTAAACTTTTATGCGAAATTCTTAAATACTATTTTAGAGGCGAAAAAGCATGTATAATTTTTAGTCGACGTAATGCACTTCGCTGCACGTTTGCGATGTAACTAACAGAATATTTATGCACCGAATCTTTAAATCTTTGTGCATATTTTTATACATATATGAAATCAGAAAGTTGGGTCATAATGTACATATCGAATCAAAATGATAACAAATAACTTCACTTTGCTCTCTAAATAGTAACATGTTTTAAAAAAGATAAATTATAGAATATTAGTTACATCTTATTAAATACCTTAAAGATTTTATATCAAAAATGTTCATTGATGGTAAACTAAAAGCTGCTTTATTGGCTGCCTGGAAGGATTTATTTATGAAAAGAGGCGCAGAGGCCTCATAGTTGATGCTTTTCCGAAGCATTTTAAGCTTGTATCAAAGTTAAAGGTGGCTATTTTGAATATTAATTGTATTTTGTTGGTAATTTAATAGGATGTAACTAATACTCCAGAGTTTGTTTTTCTGTATAGGAGTTATCGCTTGTTGGCATTATATTCTGTATATTTAAAACGAAAGAAACAATGGAAAAGTTATCGAATTTATCATAAAGACA